GCTAGCGCAACAGGGATCGCGCAGGATCGCGAATCCCTGCCGCTGCCAAAGCCGACAAACCGGAAGTCCTTGGCCTCCCAGACTTTGAACTATATTATCAGGCGGCAATAGCCACATGGGCTAAGGATTGGATTAATTTGACAAATAGAAGGATATTAGCGATAGAGGGTTTTGATTTACAACTTGGCTGGCATGTGTTCCTTTAGGATGGAACGAGTAAACATCATACCTACTTCCAAAGACATTGGGTGAGAGACACTTTGTTAACTATATGGGAAAAACTAAAAAAGAATCATTATGTGAAGGTACTGTTATGGTTGTTGACAATGGAAGCACTAATATATCCCAATGCCATAGATTGCACCAAAATGATAAAATATAGGAAAAGGGGAATTAAAAACACGGAACCAATTAGAACTTCAGAGAATTGAAATAGGATGGTGGCCTTATCTGCAGGTTCAAACACTCTATAAAAAGACAAACAATTTGGCTTTCATACAACTCAGCAAGAGTTAGACAAAATATTACAACGGATGGGAAAAATGATCAGTAAAATATATATGCCTATTAGATTACAAAATGACGGAGGAAACTGTTAAAGAAAGTTTGATAATTTGGGCTAAAAACGTGGGCCATTAATTTAGATCAGTGGGAAATTATTTGGCAGGTAAATTATAAATTAACAATGTCGCTTTCTTACAAAGAGAATATATACAAAATGTTTTACCACTGGCATCTACCCTGTTTCTCCAACAATACAGCCTCCCCCAATAGGAAGTCCCAGCATGTTTTATAGGCATGAAATTAAATTAAGCCCCTCCCCCCAAATTAAGGCCTATATTAAAATATGCAAAATGGGGGGAATGGTGGTGGGGGCTTGCCATTAGTAAGTACTTTTGTTGCACACCCGGATATGGTGCTGCCTGCATTGACCCCAATACGAAGTGTCCCACCAACGCCGAGGTCAACATCCAAGCCGTCGCCGCCCGCCCGAAGATGCAAGGGGGGGAAATTAAGTCACCCCCGAAAAGACGGCCTAGCCATTTTTTCAGGGCTCAAAAAAAAATAAGACCCGGCCTTATTATATGAGAAACACGGTACCCCCAGCGAGACTAGCCAAAATGTTCCCAAATATTTTACCTAAATGTTGGAGATGTAACCATAAACAGGGAATATACTTTCATATGTGATGGACCTACCCCCATGCATGGAAATACTGGCAAAAAATTAGATTATGGCTAGAGGAAATAACAAAACGGAGAATTAAATTTAAACCAGAACTTTTTTAACTAGGCATGCTAGAACCGAACATGAATAAGAAATATCAATATCTGATGCTCCATATAATAACAGCTGCTGGAATTACTTTCACCCAAAATTGGAAGCTACTACACCCCCCCCCCCGAAACCATAATAATTAATAAAGTATATGAATGTGCTGAGATGGATAGATTAACAAAGTTAATGAAAGATAGGGAAGAAGGAGGATATTATAAAATATGGAATATTTGGTACGAATGGATAGGAAAAGGAGTTGAATGATAATTTTGTGACATAAAACAATAAGGTTTACGTGTAAATAAATGTAAATAAAATGTATGTATAATGCTTAAAATGACGAAGAAGTAAATATAAAGATATATAACACGTTAATAGAAGAGAAATGCAAATGTATACAGTGCTTTAGCAATGTTGTAAAATATGAAAATTTGTTTTTAACTGACGAAATGTTGAATAAATAAATTTATTTTTTTAAAAGATGAATAGGATAGGGTAGGATAGGATAGGATAGGATAGGATAGGATAGGATAGGATAGGATAGGATAAATAAGTACAGAGAGAGAGAGAGAGCATGATGGATAGATGATAGAGAGACAGATAATAAATAAATAGATGATAGATAGATAGATAGATAGATAGATAGATAGATAGATAGATAGATAGATAGATAAATGGATAGATGGTAGATAGATGATAGTATAGATAGATGTACACACAATATATATAAATACTGTAAGATAGTCATCAACTTACAACAGTTTGTTTTGTGACTGAAGTTACTACAGCAGAGCTCCCCATCCCCGAGGCCATGACTGCAGCCTATTCGAAACTGGGCCGTGAGAGAAATGGGCAAGTGTGTGCGTGTGAAGCTCCTATTGCCTGAGCAGAAAAGACTTGAGCTCATGGCAAAGCTCCATTCACATGAATTCATGCGTAAATGCAAGTACCCTTCACTTGTGCGCAAAGCACCATTCGCACAAGGGCATGCGCGACATTTAGACAAATGGAAGTGTGTGCAAGTGCATGGGCCTGCTTCTCACACTCCTTTTCCCTCATACCGGGTTGGGCTGCCAAGCTTAAAGGTTGGGGCCTGTTGTATTACAGCACTGAAAAAGTGATTTATGACTCACTTAACAAGGGTCTGTCTTAGCAAGATAAATTTTGGACGTAATAGTTGTCGTAAGTCAAGACTACCATAGATAGAACATGAGAAACACAGCAGTCCATTGGGAGAAGATCATTTTAAAATTTTCTAAGGATAGCAGAGGGTAGGATGGGATAGGATAACAATAGAATAGAATAGAATAGAATAGAATAGAATAGAATAGAATAGAATAGAATAGAATAGAATAGAAATGAAATGCAGGATAGGATAGAGTGGAATGGAATAAAGAGTAGAATATAGAATATCCCATGTTTTTGTAGTTATTCCTTCTTTTGTTCTTATACCTTTGCTTGTTCGACTCTTAATTTTACAAACTATTCTACATTCTGTTCCTTCCCGCCTTTCTCTAGATTCCACCCCCCACATTCTTGCCTTCACCCTAGTCTAGCTTAATGTTTGGGGATCATGCCAAAAAAGGGGTACAAGTGGCAGCCCAGCCCACTGAGCCTGATCCCCGTCGAACTTCTTCCTCTTCCATTTCCCCACCAGGTGTGGAGTTCGGGGCACGGATGATTACCATTGGAAACAAAAAGATCAAACTGCAGATTTGGGATACGGTGAGGAACTCCAGAAGCCTTTGGGTGAGGGGAATTGGTTGGGCTTGTGGAATGAACAGCTTGCGTGGGACTGGATTGGCCAGGAAGAGCAAACAGCAGTTGCTCCCAGCTACTATCACACCTCCACATCCAGATTTGGTGCCATTTGGCTCATGCTTTAGGCCTGATGCGTAGTTTTTGTGTGCTTCTCTTTTGCTCCAAAGGCTGGCCAGGAATCCTTCCGTTCAATCACCCGCTCGTATTACCGAGGAACAGCCGGGGCACTCTTGGTCTATGACATCACCAGGTGAGGCCCAACTGCAATGCAAAAAGTAGACGTGGATCAGGATCAGGTTTAATTGTTTAGCCCAGTGGATCCCAACATTTTGGTTTGGAGGGCCATTGATGCTCTGTAGGTCCTTGCAGGTCATCCCGTTAAGCTACTGGAATTATTTGGATAGAGCTGTGATGGCAAACCTATGGCACGCGGAAGTGGCATGCAGAGACATCTCTCAGAGCATGCCAGCCATCACCCTTTGCTCTTCCTGGTTCCGGCACATGCATGCGCGCCGGCCAGCAGGTTTTCATGCATGCGGCAGCACCAGAAACCAAAAGAGCAGGTGGTGCGCTGGAAACCAGAAGCTCAGCTTTTTAATATACGCATGCCCATCAGAGAACTGCACTTCCAGTTTCCAGCACTCCCGTGCGTGTGTGCCAGGGAGCTGCTCTTCCGTTTTCCTGGTGCTCCCACGCACATGCTCTCTTTTGGGATAGAGCAAGGAAGGAAAAAGAAGGAAAGGGGAAGGAAGAAGAAAAGAGAATGAAGGGAAAAGAAGGAAGGAGGGAAGGAAGGAAGGAAGGAAGGAAGGAAGGAAGGGAGGGAGGGAGGAAGGAAGGAAGGAAGGAAGGGCTTATAATGAGAGGGAGAGTGTCAGGGAAGTCCTGCCTTAGCACTTGGCCACCACAGGTGCCCCTGACATAAGTCACACCCATCATGGCTGTGCCTACTCCCCAGCCATGCCTGGCCCTCTGAGGTCAAACACAACCCTGATGCGGTCCTCAATGTAATCGAGTTTGACACCCCTGGGATAGAGAGATGGGTGAAACTAACATTCCCTAAATAGGCCAATTTATTTATTGATTTAGAGAATTTACGTGGCTGGCCATTCAATTTCAGGGACTCTTAAGTGGCTTGCAAAAGATAAAAATCCAAATATACAAAGAATAAACATTCCCCACCCCTTGGTGACAAGCGGTAATCTAACAGGGCCCTTGATGGGCTCCATCCCACTTTGGCTTCCCAGGGTCATTGGCAAAACCAGGGCCTTGCAAAAGAGTGTCAAAAAAGAGTCCAGGGAAGGTGAAAACAGCCCTCCCCCGCCGTGGTGCAGGAGGCCGACTAGGTCACACCCACCCAGCAACCGTAAAATTTTTGAAGCCCACCTCTAGTCTCTGAGAGACTTTTTCCCTTGGATATCAAGTGACAATGGAAGTGACACTCCTCTCCAATCCCCCAGTGCTTGTTCTGGGGACAAAGAGAGTTGCAGAGGATGTTTCTCCAGGAAGCTATAACCTTCTCAAGCTTTGATCGTTTTCACCTTCACCTTGACTTTTTTTTTTTCTCTTCACTCTTCTCAGGCGGGAAACTTTCAACCATTTGTATGCCTGGTTAGAAGACGCTCGGCAGCATTCCAGTCCCCACATGGTGATCATGCTCATTGGCAATAAAAGGTAAGGGTGATTCCTTCCTTCTGGTTTGTTCCTCCTTGCCCACCCATCGAAGCCCTGTCAATCAACGCACGTCGGACTGTCTGCAATTCCTTTGACCAAAGGCATCTTTACATGGCTGCAACCCGGGTGGATAAAAATCAATGATGTTTTTAAATTATATTTCTTTTAAATCAGATTTTTAAAATTTAAATCAGACTTTTTTTATTTAAATTGGATTTTTTTGATTTTGATCAAGTTTATTTTAATAAAATGCTTTTGGAGTAAAAATCTGTCTAACGGTAGTTTTCTATTTAAGATACATTAATAACTTGGTTTATCCAACATGAAATGGAGCTTAGTTATGTAGCATGAGGCTGTATATATCAGGGGTCTTCAAACTTGATAACTTTAAAACTTCAACTCCCAGAATTCCTCCTCCAGTCATGTTAGCTCAGGAATTCTGGGAGTTGAAGTCCACAAGTCTTAAACTTGTCAAGTTTGAAGACTTGCTGTATATGCTGCAATATTGGGACTGTCGTGAGTCAACCACGGATCAGAGAAGGAGCTTTTGTGGGACAGAGATGTCAGTTGCTCTTTAAAAATCGTGATTTAAATGATTTAAATTGATTTGATTTAAAATCAAATCCATCCGGGCTGCAGCTGCAAAAGGAAGACCCACAAATTTGGAAACAGATGTGGCTGGGAGTTGCAGATAGGTGGCTGGGAACATTGGGCATTTGAATCTGCACTGCTCAGTTTTAAACACCGGTACTTATCTCTTCTCTTAGGGAGATCGTTGGCGTTGTTTTCTTGCAGTCATTTCATTTTCAAATTATGTAACATCATCAGTGCTAGTAGAGAGTGGGGGATTTGTAGCGGGAAGGGCAACAGCTTCCTACAAGCATCTGATCACTTTGGGGATCGGGTGGTTTTTCTGTTCTCATGTTCCTCTTCAATCTCTGCATGTCAATTTTCTACCCAGAAGTCCTCCTAGGTTGAAAGTCCCATGAAAGTCAATGAAAAGAAAGCCCTTGCTTTTCCCTTGTTTCCATCCACCAATGGATGTCCGGTTGTGGTGGTGGGGGGAGATGGGAAAATCATACTTAACAAGCAAACTTAACAACCATGTTACTAACTTAAGAACTGTGACGATTCTGTGGCAAGACAACTGTGGCAAAAAAGGTCATAAAATGGGGGCAAACTCACATGACAACTTCCTCGATCAAAATTTTGGTCTTGATTGTGATCGTAAGTCAATAGTTACCTGTAACCATTTTTTGTACATGGGTGTGTTTGCTTCAGGGGTGCATCAAAGAGGGTTGAGAACAGGCGGCTGAAGAAATAGACTTCTAGGTGGGGTTTATCTGCATCATCATTCTTTCTTAGTTCGATCCTAGGCAGAGGCAGATATTTCTCTCTCTGGGCACACTGAGAATCTATCTGATGAACAAACCTCCGCATTGACGTCAGAAAGGGCATCCGGCCAGTAAAACACTCTGCTAGCTCCATTCAATTGCCCAGACTCCCACCCTGCAAGGGAATATGGGGTCGTTAAACTATGATGATGATTGTTCTTTCTTTCAGGCTTCTATGTTCTCGTCCTCTCTTGACCGTCGTGTTTGTCTCTTTTCCTGTAGTGACATGGAGCACCGGCGGGTGGTGCAGAAAGAAGAGGGGGAGGCTTTCGCCCGGGAACATGGCATGGTTTTCATGGAAACATCAGCAAAGACATCAGCCAATGTGGAAGAGGTATAAAAAATACGTTGAAACTCCACAGTCGGAAATCCCGGCATAACTTCTTCTGAACCTGCCAGCCAGATGATGGAGGGTGTAGAATGCCTTGTGGTCTCTTTCATGGTTTCAAATATCTCTTCTGATATGAGATGGTTAGGAGTCTATTCTACCAGTTTTTACTCTGACCTTAAATTTTGTTTTTCTTTCCGTTTGCTGTTCCCAGGCCTTTCTCAACACAGCTAAAGCCATCTACAGAAAGATCCAGCTGGGTGAACTTGACATTTCCAATGAGGTGAGCTGGACACAAGCCTTGCTGGGTCTCCGTCAAACCCGTAGCCAGGAATTATGTCATGGGACAGAGCTACCTTATTATAATTAATCAAGGAGAGAAGCAACTGAGAACCTAAGGAGAAATTTCCTGACAGTTCAAACAATTAATCAGTGGAACAACTTTCTTCCAGAAGTTATGAATACTCCAACACTGGTAGTTTTTAAGAAGACACTGGACAACCATTTGTCTGAAATGGTACAGGGTTTCTGGCCTAAGCAGGGGGTTGGACTAGAAGACCTCCAAGATCCCTTCCAACTCTGTTACTCTATTCTATCCTATTCCTATTCAATTTCTAATTCTAATTCTATTCTATTAATATAGCTGGAGTCTTAGCAGAGGTTGCTGGCAGTTTGAAAAATTCCATGCAATGTTCTTTAATTACCTTTAAAAAGGGGGCCAAATCACAGGCCTGCGCTTACTAGAATCAAGATTTTCAGTACTCAATCAGTACTCAGACTGACATTAGTAATGCAGAATTAACAGAGTTTGAAGGGATCTTGGAGGTCTTCTAACCCAACCCCCTACTCAAGCAGGAATCCCTACACTGGGGGTGTCAAACTCGATTTCATTGAGGGCCGCATCAGTGTTGTGTTTGACCTCGAGGGGGGGGGAGGGAGCATGACTGGGTTGGGCATGGTCAGGGTCGGTGTGGCCTGCTTGACGTCACCTATGTTGGGGCACCTGTGGTTGGGGGTACCTGGGCTCCGTTTTTGGCTGCTCTGGTCCCCTGCAACCCTCTGCATGAAAACGGAGCTTGGGAGGGATGTGCTCCGTTTTCACTGGCAGAGGCACTGCAGGCTGGTCCTTCGCTGTTTCAAGGGCAGCCCCCTGGCCCAAATCTAAGCACCCCATGGGCCAGCAGGCCTTGAGTTTAGCACCCCTGCCCTACACCATTTCAGACAAATGGTTCTCTAATCACTTTTTAAAAACCTCCAGTGTTGAAGAACCAAAACTTCTGGAGACAAGTTGTTCCACTGATTAATCATTCTAATTATAAGGAAAATTCTCCTTAGTTATAGTTTACTTCTCTCTTTGATTAGTTTCCTTCCATTGCTTCTTGTCCTGCCTTCATTTATGAGTCTTTCCCAGTTAAGTTACATTAAACTTTCCCAATTAAGTTACATTAAACTTCAAACTCCAGATAGATAGATTCAAATCTGGTAGCCTTCCTTACCTTAGCCTGTTGGAGGATATTGATAAGGCCCAGTCGAAAAGTCTTCTGTACAGTTCAGGAACCCAAAGTTGCATCTTTTAAACTTAAAAGTTGGTTCAATTAACGAGAAGGTTTCTACATCAATAGCAGCAATAGCACTTAGATACCACTTCAGAATGCTTTACAGCCCTCTCTAAGCGGTTTACAAAGTCAGCCTATTGCCCCCAACAGTCTGGGTTCTCATTTTACCCACCTCGGAAGGATAGAAGGCTGAGTCAACCTTGAACTGGTCAGGATCAAACTCCTGCCAATCATAAAATTAACCTGCAATACTGCATTCTAACTACTGCAACACCACAGTCCTTGTGTATTAAATTTTGAAGTCAAAGTAGAGATATATTAATGAACTATTAATAGCAATAGCACTTAGATTTATAATAGCACTGGAACAATGGTGGGATTCAATTTTTTTACTACTGGTTCTGTGGGCATGGCTTGGTGCGTGTGGCAGGGGAAGGATATTGCAAAATCTTCATTCCCTCCCCACCCCACTAACCTGCTTTCCAGTTCCGTTCTCCTATGCAGGGCAACAAAAGAAGACCCAGCTGATCAGCTGGGACTCGGGAGGCAGAGAATAGATGGGGGAAGGACCAGTCAGAGGTGGTATATGCCAGTTCTACAAACTACTCAAAATTTCCCCTATCAGTTCTCCAGAACTGGTAAGAACCTGCTGCATACCACCTCTGGCCTGGAAATATCAAAGGACCAGCCTGTGGTGCCTCTGCTGGCCAAAAAAGAGGGCCTGCTAGAAGCTAGGGAGGCCGAAAATAGGACACCCGTTTTTGCTGGCAGCTGGGGTGGCTGAAAACAGGCTGTGCAGGGGCCTCGCTGGGCCTCCACACGGCCCGCTTTTGGCCAGCAAAGTATTGCAAGAGGCGTCCATCATGTCTCCCCCCCTTCCGCTCCCCGCCCCCCATTCCCACCCACCACCACCCCGCCAGCCCATGGTGGAGAACAATGCTGATCTGGCCCTTGAAGAAATCCACTTTGACACCCCTGGTGTATAGTATAAGCTTAAGGTGGGTCAGGGCGACTTTGTTTTCAATGTTTACATAGTTAAATCCTTTTTCTTTCTTTTCTCTTTCCAGGGAAATGGGATCAGGATTGGCTCTAAACAACCAGCCATTATTCCGGGTGGATCATCGCTCCGCCCGGGACTGCAAGGCTCTGGGGACCGATCAGGCTGTTGCTAAGTTTGCTTGAAATCCTGACAAGCTCATTGAGGCTGGGAACAAACAGAGGATGGTGCCTTTCACTTCTTATTCAAATGGCATTGGGGGAGATGGGGAGGCAAGGATTTTCCAGTCCAGTTTTCCTTTCCCCTTTTTATATGAATGTGGGGCCAACCTGAATCTAATCTTTGGCTGGGGCCTAGAGCATCCCTTCCCGAAATCTCCCCATCAGGGCTGTCTGGCCTTTCTTCTAGAAGGAAAGGTATTTCCTTCATCCAGTCTGCTTATATGTCGGCAGTGGCTATTCTCCCCACTGTTGAAAACTTCCATTCCCTACCTTGGACTTGTTAAATTTTGGGGGATCTTCCAGGTCTCCATACCTGATTTAATATTAAGCTGTAATGTATGCTTTCTCTTGTTCCTACTAAAAGTTTTCACATTTGCTTTTACCTGGCTCTTTTTTCATGGGAGAGGGAAGCAAAGGGCTATACAAAAAGGATTTGTTTCATATTCTGCCACGGCAATTCTTTTGACGCAACTTTCCAATGGAGGTGGTCCTCGACTTACAACTGCCGTGACCAAAAACAGCTGAGCAAAACAGCAGTGAAGCAAGTTTTGCTCCATTTTGCGACCTTTCTTTCTGTCGCCGTTAAGTGAATCACTGCAGTTGTTCAGTTAGCAACACAGTGGTTGAGCGAAGGTTGAAAAAAGGTGATCATGACATTGTGACCGTCATAAATGTGACCCTGTTGCCAAGTGCCCAGATTTTGATCATGTGAAAATGGGAATGCTGCAATGGTTGTAAATGTCAAAAATGGTCACAAGTCACTTATTTCTGCTGTTGTAACTTTGATTGGTCACTAAACAAATGGTTGTAAGTCAAATTCTTAAGTAGAAAAGGACTACAGAGGAAAGAACATTAAACCACAAAATATTTTAAACACAAAGCTCCACAGATATTTTTAAATGCAAGGTTGGTATTTGTGGCAAACGTAACCAACATTTAAGGTTGCCTTTAAATGAAGCCATATTTAATTGTTCTTCCAGGTCTTCAGCATGGCTTTTCAGTATCAGCTGTCTGGCTTCTTTTTCACTGGAGATGCCAAAAGATCATTATATGCTTTGATACTGATCTATGTTGGAACAAATCTGGGGTTTGGTTATTCTTGGTTGTTTTTGGTTATTTCAAAAATAAAAGAAGCTTGAACAATTGGTTAAGTTGTGACAAAAACATTCCGGGAATCAAATTGCAACCATATACATTTATAATGGCTCAATGGCTAAGGCGCTGAGCTTGTCGATCAAAAGGTTGGCAGTTTAGCGGTTCAAATCCCCAGCACCGCTTAATGGTGAGCTCCCATTCCTTGTCCCAGCTTCTGCCAACCTAGCAGTTCAAAAGCACGTAAAAATGCAAGTAGAAAAATAGGGACCACTTTGATGGGAAGGTAACAGTGTTCCGTGCACCTTCAGCATTTAGTCGTGCCGGCCAGATGACCACGTCGGAGACATCTTCGGACAGCGCTGGCTCTTCAGCTTTGTAATGGAGATGAGCCCCACCCCCTAGAACCGGAAACAACTAGCACGTATGTGCTAGGGGAACCTTTACCTTTACCTTTTAATCACCGCTACCAACCACTTCTTGAGTATATGCCAGGAATACTTGATTATGCATCATTTTAAACAGAATTTTTGCAGGCAGGAATTTTAGTTCTTAAAGTGGGGAAGCTTTTTTCCCCTTCCACTGATAGCCACAGATGTACATTTTGGAAGTTGTGTTCTATCTAACCTCGCAAAGTAAGCCTTTTCTAAAATCTAAATTCCAGGTTTCGTTCCAGAAAAGTGATTGGCTTTTTAAAAATTGTAGCTACCTTTTATATTTATTTTTTTAAATAAATAATGGGCTATCTTTTTAAAACAAGCTTGCAGATGTGCACAGCAAGCACGGACAATTTAAAAAATTTAAAAAAAATACATACTATTTGAATGACGATGAAGTGCCATCAAGTTATTTTCAACTAGCAACCGCCTAATACTATGAGAATAAAATACTGCAAATAATGGGTTTGAGTGTGTGATATGCCATGACTCTATTTTCGTTCCTTATTGAGTTTACAGGAACAAATGAATCTCAATGTCTATAAAGATTCTCAGTCATCCAGGTCATGGTTGTCCCAAAGGTGCTTTCTCAAGAGGCAATTGGACTTTGTTTTTTTTTCTTTGAAGATGTTTTGCTTCTCATCCAAGAAGCTTCTTCAGCTCTACCATCCAGTCAGAGCTGAGTTTTTTTCTTCAAATAAAAAAACGCAGAAAATCCAGTTGCCTCTTGAAAAAGCACCTGTGGGACAAAATGAATCTCAATTGTAATACTTGGTATCATGCCAGTCAAAACCTGTGAATGTCTTCTGGATTCGGTCTTGGTTTCTATTATCACCACTCAAAAATAAGTTCTATTAATTTCAGGTGGTCCTCAACCACAATTGAGCCCAAAATTTTGGTTGGTAAGTGAGACAGTTGAGTTTTGCCCCATTTTATGAACTTCCTTGCCAGTTGTTAAGGGAATCACTGCTGTTAAGTTAGTAACACATTTGCGAAGTGAATCTGGCTCCCCCACTGACTTTGCTTCTCAGGACACAAATGGGGAATCATGTGACCCCAAGGACACTGCAATCGTCATAAATATAAGTGGCCAAGTGGCTGGATTTTGATCATGTGATCATGGGGATGTTGCTACAGTCATAAGTGAAAAACACTCATGTCACTTTTTTCAGTGCCATTGTAATTTGGATGCAATTTCCACGCGAAATTCTGTATAAGCCGAATCCCTTTTTCCATCTGGTCATGTGAACGGATCGCTCTGACTCTTGCACCCGATTGATTCATCAGGTTAGGGCACTGAGAATGGCTGAAGTTCTCACTCCCAAACCTCAAGAAGTGGCTTTCCCACCCTGTACAGTTAGTCTTCAACTTATAATGGTTCATTTAGTGACCGTTTGAAAGTTACAACAGCAGAGGAAAAAAATGACCTACGACCGTTTTTCACACAACCCTTGTGGAATCCCCATGGTCACATGTTCGAAATTCAAATATTTGACATTTATTTATTTTTTTAATATATGTTTATTGATACTTTTTAAAAAATATACATAGAAAGTTCGATATCTATCTGAACATCAGGTTGTCTGGGCACAGTTAGTTTTAAGTAGATACAATATTAATCATCATAATAATAATAAACGTATCAATATTATTTGCAAAGTAATAATACAATTAGTTTATCCATCTTATAAAGTTGTCAGTAAAATTTTTTTTATGTTTTTTGGTCTTTTTAAGATTCTAACCTGTTTCTGTTAGTTAACCATTGTTAAAACAAGTCCCATGTTCAAAAGTATTCTGTTTCTTCCTTTTCTTCTATTTTAAATGCTAATCTATCCATCTCAGCACAACCTAATATTTTTATAATACTTTCATCTGTAGGGATCTCTTCATTTTTCCATTCTCGCTGCCGTTAATACATGTAAAGTGAAGTATGTTTTCCCTTTGTTATACTGTTCTGGTAAGATACCCAACAACAATATTACAGGTTGCTGCTTGAGCAGGGGTTGGACTAGAAGACCTCCAAGATCCCTTCCAGCTCTCTTCTGAATTATATTAATATTTATTTATTTTATTTATTTATTTATTTGATTTGCCAATTGTTTACAAGATAATAAGTATAAGTATATACATAGTTGTGAATACATGAAATGGGTACATATAAGAAAAATAAAAGAAGAATAAGAGAAACAATAGGACAGGGACGGTAGGCACGTTGGTGCGCTTATGCACGCCCCCTACAGACCTCTTAGGAAAGGGGTGAGGTCAATAGTAGACAGTCTAAGGTTAAAGTTTTTGGGGTTTGGGGAAGAAACTACAGAGTCGGGTAGAGTATTCCAGACATTGACCACTCTATTGCTGAAGTCGTATTTCCTGCAATCAAGTTTGGTGCGGTTAACTTTGAGTTTGTATCTATTGTGTGCTCTTGTGTTGTTATGGTTGAAGCTGAAGTATTCATTGACAGGTAGGACATTGCAATGTATGATTTTATATACCATGCTTAAATCAGACCGAAGACGGCGTAATTCAAGGTTTTCTAGTTCTAGAATTTCAAGTCTGGTGGCATAAGGTATTCTACAACGAGTAGAGGAGTGGAGAACTCTTCTTGTGAAATATTTCTGGACTTTCTCAATTGTGCTAATATCAGATACGTAATGTGGGTTCCAGACTTTTGAACTGTATTCGAGTATTGGTCTAGCAAATGTTTTGTATGCTCTGGTTAGTAGTGTGATATTACCAGAGAAAAAGCTACGTAGGATTAGGTTAACAACTCTTAATGCCTTTTTGGCTATGTAGTTGCAGTGGGCTCTAGCACTTAGATCATTAGAGGTGAGTATTCCAAGGTCCTTTACAGAGCTTGGGTCATCAACAAGATCTTGACTATTCAGCTTGTATTTTATTTTCTGATTTTTTTTGCCAATATGTAAGACAGAGCATTTATTTGTTGAGATTTGAAGTTGCCATTTGTTTGACCATTCTGATACATAGTCAAGATCTTTTTGTAGGGTAGCAGTATTGTCTGTGGTATTGAACAGCTTTACATCATCAGCGAAAAAAACGCAATTGCTCTTAATATGATCACAGAGGTCATTTATGTAGAGTATGATGAGAGTTGGTCCTAGAACACTGCCTTGGGGGACACCACTATTGACAGGTACAGAATTTGATAGGACGCTCCCAATTTTGACCATTTGTTGTCTGTTTGCCAGGAATGCTTCTATCCAGTTATTCAGTTGTCCAGAGATACCATAGGATTTTATTTTTAGGAGTAGTTTGTCGTGTATCACTGAATCAAAGGCTTTACAGAAGTCTATGTAGATTGCGTCTATTGCTTTGCCCTGGTCGAGTTGTGTCATCCATATGTTTTTGCAGTGTAAGAGTTGCAGATTACAGGATAGTTTTTTTCTGAAACCAAATTGTTTATTGGAGAGTAGGTTGTTTGTCTCTAAGTGGAGGATGATGGATTGGTTAATAATTGATTCCATGACTTTACAGGTGACGCAGCATAAGGAGATTGGTCTGTAATTTTCAACTAGGCTTGGGTCTCCCTTTTTGAAGATGGGGATGACTGTGGCTTGTGACCATAGGTTAGGCAAGGAGCTGGTCCTGAAAGATTTTTCAAAGATTATGCTTAGAGGTTTGGCTATGGCAGTGGATAGCTTTTTTAAGAAGTAGGCACATATTCCATCAGGTCCAATAGATAGAGATGGTTTTAGATTGCGTAGTGCTTTTTCAACATTGTCTTCTGTAAAATCGATATGTATTAGATCATTGTTGTTTCAATGTTGTTTCAATATTTCTGGTTTCATATCTCTGTGTTGCTTTATCTTTT